ACGTTTTCAGGTTTCAAGCAAGATTGCAGGAACTGTTTCATGCCTGAAAAAGTCTGACCTCTGCAACCGGCTATGATATTTATCCAAAAGTAAGCTTAAGTTAACCACTTAGATATATTAAAAGTAAGATGGAAGCAAAGATCACTTCGCACGCTCCCCTGTCACTAAGAAACGTACAAACAGCTGAACAGGTCACAAACCAAAACATGGATTTTTTTTTCCATGCAGATATCTCCTTCTTGAGCTACGTAAGCATTTCATACATTCCACTTACCGGAAAAGCTTTGCTTTCAACGTAAATCAACATGGCTGCCAGTTAAAAGTTCACAACCTTGAAATGAAAATCAAATCGTGGAGAGAAAGGAATTTTCGGTCGCCATGTTTGTCTCGATTGACGTCAATGAGAAGGACAAGAGTAAGACTTACTAGGTCCCCCTGAGTACTCCAGCCCCGATTGCGCGGGGAAACGAGCGCGAAATATAAGCCAACCTCAAGGAGAAAATGTTGATATTAATTTATTGGTTTTATATCAGTGAATTGTCCAGGGCCTGAGTTCATAGGGTAAAATTTTCTAAAGTCTGCTACAACGCTGTTTTTTGTGTCGTCACGCAAAGCTCCTCCAAAAAGGGAGGAGCGTTGCGTGACTAGCAGACAAGTCTTAAAGTCCTCGAACGGCTGGATGCCCGACGGTTGCCTCTCTTTCCTCGCTCCTCCACTTTAATCGTGATTTTCACGATTATCTAACTCGTTCTCGTTTCAACTTGCATAAAATGTCTCTCAGGTATCAATTTTCTATTAGTTCTCAAGCCCCGCGCCGATTATTTGGAACGATATCCCCTTGACTATCCGTAACAGCCTTTAATACTAGCACTTACTTTGAAAAGAAACCAAAACTTTACTTTTTAAGATTTTTAAGCCTGAATTGAATTAGGGCAAGATTCTCATAGTTTATTGTTAGTTTATTTGTCACTAGTTTTGTCTCTGTTATAGGGCTGCATGCATGTAAACTTACTTAATTTCTGTCAGTTTTGTATCTTGTTTTAGTTTTGTTATTTGGCCTAGTCTTCATTTCTATATAAAATAATTTCTGTCTTTCTGACCACAGGCCGTGTAAGCCCCCGGCTTTGGCTTTTAGTTAAAGTCACTGACGGGAGTTTAGGTTTTTCTTTGTTTTTCAGTTTTTCTTTAATTCAGAAATATTTTGTTTCCCTAGTGAGTAAGTTTGTAAAGTCTGTAAAAAAAAAGACAAAAAAAGACAAAGACAAACGTCAAGCGAGAACGCAGAGCGAGCGAAGGCAGTGAATCTGTGTAAAAAACTGCTACAAAAATACCAAAAGCCACCCAAGTTACTTGCGTGGCAAAGTTCTACGGAGTTGTTATAACCCAACTAACTGCCAACTGAAAAGATTCCATGCGCGCGGCTAGGAATCTGCCAACTGACGTAAACAAAGGTTGCTCGGTTACGACAAAATAACGGCTTTTCACTTTGTTTTGTGCAAAGCAAAGTTCTTTAGTGCGTCTCAGATGGCTTTCACGTTCATGGACAAAAAAGAAAATGACGGCTTACCCCGAAATAGCTGGAAATAGGTCGGAAGGTAAATCCATTCATATATATTCTTCTAACATAAGGCTTTTTTTTTTCCGAGGCTGCATACACCAAGGAAAAGGAGCACGTCCGTTCTATCTAATCAGGTTACAGGAGCATTATTCTACACACCTAAAACATTGCTGCAGAAGCATTGTTTCCTTCTAATGAGTTTTAACTATTAAAACAGGCGAAAGAAAAATTTTGTAGACTGAAGCAATAGCGACAATAGCCCGCGAAAGATCTCTTGGTGACATCTGGGCCTGAGGCTAGTCAAGGGAGGCCAGGGACGTGGAAGGGATAAGAGCCGAAAGAGAGCGAGAGAGAGCTTTCACGCAAGCGGGAAGCAAAAACGAAAACGTTTTAGACTTGACACAACGAAAAGGAAGCAAGGCTGATTTTACAGCGAGGAATATAACTGCCCATTCGAGGGGCACTACGTTTCCTCTTCAGGGTGCCTTGATATTTATTTGTCTTGATTGCCGCGCGACTTCTTCCATCCAGGAAGCAAAATTTTTCTCTTCAGCGGTTTAACCGGTGCGGTTGAACTTGAAAACACGCAAGTCACTCAAATTCTGTCTTGGTGAGCAATAACGTTTTCTGGTGAAAAAGGCCCGTACATTCTGATGGAACAGAGGTGCTGCATCGGTGAGGCGCCCGTTGGGGGAAGGGAGGGGAGGGGTTGGTTGGGTCTAGCCTAGCACGCGTCATAGAGGGAAGGGGATTAGGAGAAAGAAAAAAGAAAGGGGGGTTATGACAATGTAACATATCGACCCAGGGGGAAGTTTTGTGTCCGGCGGCTTTAGTGAAAAGAAAGGTTTGTGGGGGTTGCTCAGTCTCGCGGGCTCACAAACCTCCCTCAGGTCGATCTTATTTTTTATTTGCCTTTCTTTTTCCTTTTCCCGCTTTTCTCCATCTCCCCTCCCCTATTTGCGCCTGCCACGCAGGCTAGGTGGGTCTGGGTTACGTATATCCCTAATATGAATGTCATAATCCTTGACTCGCCATGTGCCTGTCGGCATTTTACTGTCGTATTTGCGCTTTTCTTCCTCACTGTCCCCGTTACAATCCATTTTTGTGTCGTTTGTCGCTATTTCACCCGGCTTTACATGTCGCTTTTTTAAAGACGGTCACTTGTAGGAAATTCCATCCTAATGTGCCCTTACTGGTGAGAGAATGAAACAAAGAACATGAATTGACGATATTTTATCGCCTGTGTTAAATACGTAGCCCAGCCTTTATCCACTAGTGACAAGTCTGGAAAAGTAACTTAACTTGCAGTTTGTCATTAAATTTATCCATTTATTTCTCCAAGTGCGCAATATTACAGACGCAAAAGTTATGAAATCTTTGTTTTATTTGGCGATAATACCAAAGTAAAAAAGATACATTCACTAATAAATAGATACAACCTTTCATTAGAAATATATATTAATAATGTTACGTTTGGTCTTACATGTACAAACTGCTCGCCACTCTTGTTAAATAAAGTTAAAAAACGCTTTGCCGCGTCTTGTTAAAACCCTCATAAGCTTACACCACTTTGGGTATTTTTTTACTCTTCAAAAGAAACTAAAGATAATGACGGTTGTTCAAGACACACAACTAGATTTTATTGGAAACAGAAATAGATTCCACTGGATTTCTTCAATTCTATTCGCGGGAGACTTGAAAAAAATATCGATCATGTCTTGTAGGGTGCTTATCTTGGGTTGTGGTTAAAGGGTGAAGTATTTCCCGATTGACTTCAGGTAACTCCAGTGGACTCTCGTTCAGTTTATGACTGGAATCTAGAGGAGTATATTAAGCGTTTTCAAAGAAAATACTTCGACTAGGTTTCTGTTAAATTAAAACGAAACCATAACAGAGCTGTAAATATAATAAATTGGCAGAAACGTTCAGGCAAAGCATTACATTTTTGATTGTCCATTCCAAAAGAACCTCCGAGACATTTCAATAAAAGTCAAGCGATAAAAGGGCTCGAGTGATGAATTTAAACTGGAAAAGTCCGTTCGATTGCTAAGTGATGATGAAATTCACTATAAAAACACCGTCCTAAATACAAAAAAAGATTACAAAAACGTACTAAACAGCTCCCAGGTTTGGCGCTCAAAAGATTTTTTTAACTTCAAAAAACTGCGCAAAAAGCGAGTAAAGGTTTACAATTCACTTTAAGAAGTATTTTTTTTCTACCAGTTTAAGCAATTTATTTAGCAATTTATCATGCTTTCCGTTCAACAAACTTGCCTTACACCAACCGCAAACAAGAAAGCACCTCTAAAGTCATCAACAGTGCCAAATTTCTCTGCAGGCCGAAAACGACATGTTTGAGCGAGTAAGCAACAAAAGGGAGCAAATATACACGCAAATGGATTCCTGCCTTAAAAATTCACACAACAGAAACTGATTCCAATGTAATTCTAAGAAGTAGACTGTTCATTTAAGTTTATGCTTTGAATTCACCTAAAAATAGCTTTAGTCTGTACATAATATATTAAATTGGTCTTGAACGAGTAAGCAAGAAAAGAGAGCAAATACACACACAAATGGATTCCTGCCTTAAAAATCCACACACCAGAAACCGGTTCGAATGTCATTCTAAAAGGTAGATTGTTCAAATAAGTTTATTTTTTTAATTCACCTAAAAATAGCTCTAGACTGTACATTATATATTAAATTGGTCTTCTGAAAGTATAAATGGCGTATTGATTTCTCTGATAGTTTTTAGGTCAAGTAAAATATTATACAAGGAATGATTTGTAACTGTTTTCATTGTCGCTAAGAACAGCTATGTCATTTGTTAGAAACGTTGTCGACGGTCATCATGTACTCTGGGTAGTTGACAAAACTACCATTTCATTTGTAGAAGGTACGCGCGCTGCGATTGGACAATTTGCGGGCCGATTTGTACGGCCCGCTAAGTTTTATAGTTTTCTGCAGTTAAATAAGAATTCATCGATAAATACTACCGTGAAACCTGTATTAAGAGAACTCACATTAATAGTCTCCTGCTCAGCCATTATTACGTGTTTTTTGTGTGTTCACGAAGAAGCGTTACGTGAAGAGAACGTGACTACGAGAACGTGATGTTCTCAATAATAAGGTGTACGCACACGTCACTGTAACAAGACTTCTAGCAAAATGTTGTAGTGACGGAAACATATTATCACATGTTAGAAGTTTTATCACTTTGCGACCGGGAGAGGGCTTAATCTCCTTCAAAAAATATAATCGTGTTAACATTTCTGAAGCTTTACGGGGTGTTTATTTTTTCAGGACAAGCGAAAAAAAAAACTGATGGTTAAATCTCGTCCTCGTCTTTGATACTGGTTTCTGGTTACGTGGGTGTTCTCTCAATGCTGGCTTCACTGTTTTACTGTAATTGTATTGTACTTTAGTGATAAGGACCATGCAATTAGTGTACCGTACTGCTCATTAGCCCAGGCCGATATGTTCCATTTAGTGAACCATTCAGTGCATTACTGGCCAGAGTCCTTTCAGGGGACCTGTATTCTGGAGAATACAGGTCAGGAGAGGGTGATGAGAAGGACCTCTCCAGTGAATCCATTTGATTCAATCGCGCAAGAGCGTTCTTTAGAACTTGAGAGTCGATGGGTCCTGATGCTTTAGGGCTCGTGTAGGGGCTTGACAGGAGAGCCTAGAATAAAATACAGTAACTGGTTTGGGTAAATTGTACCCTAGGGTTATATTCAGGTGTACGGTTGAAACTCTCTACAACGGCCACCGTGAGGACAGAAGAAAGTGGCCGTTGTAGAGAGTTTTTAAACAAGAGTCAATGTATGGATTTTTTGTCCGCCGAGACAAAAAAAGAGGCCGTTGTAGAGAGGGTTTAAACAAGAGTCAATGTATGGATTTTTTGTCCGCCGAGACAAAAAAAGAGGCCGTTGTAGAGAGGGTTTAAACAAGAGTCAATGTATGGATTTTTTGTCCGCCGGGACAAATAAAAGTGGCCGTTATAGAGGGGTCGCCGTTGTACTGAGACAGGTGGCCGCCAGCAGTGGTTCGACAGTAGTAAAATTATCAAAAATATTGTTAGCTTGATTTAAGATTTTGGTATCTACTCCAAATGAGTTTTAAGAGTTTACAATCGCAAATAGGGATTTAGACTTTCAAAAAAGTCCTTCGTCGGATTTCATATGGGCAAAAAAGTCCTTTGTCGGCCGCTTTGCGGCCAAAAAAGGCTCGCTCCGCTCGCCAAGAGGTCGACTTGTAGCAAGTCTAATAGGGATTATACCATCATCATCGGCATGCAAATGTTTATGATTTAAATTAAGATTTTGTAAATTCCAAACCTAATAAGAGCGCGCTTCTTTAAAATTTGGCGATATTAATATACTGTACTGACACATTGAAATTCAGTGACTGACGTTTCGACAACCTGTGCGGTAGTCATCGTCACCGTCAAAATGAGTTGCTTATACTGAGGTGATGGTATCAACAGTTGGTTATTCACCTGATTGGCCCATATAACATATTTCGGAAGTTATACTGACCTTAGCTTTCTCAAGCTCTCTTGTAATGGTAGCCTTTTCTTGTACAAGCAAGTTAACTTTGTCGTGAAGTTCTGTGTTCTCTTTCTCCATTGCATTTAGGGCAGCCTGTCTCTGACGTAAACTTCTCAGATGTTCCCGGATGACCTCTTCGCTGTCTGTTAATCTGTTTACATTAAACAATTAACCAATCAGAGACGAGTTTTTATGGTGGGCATCTAAAGCACTAGCTCAATACTCCAATCTGTTTATTGACAGAACCTAACACATGAACATCCGTAGTCTTAGGGCCTGTTTACATGGGGGTGGGGGACCCCAGGTAGGTGAGGTAACCCGCTTAGGTGGGGTAACCCACCTGTCCATATAATCTCTCATTTTAATCTGATCACGTTAACATGATAACTGGGGTGTCCCGCCACATGATACCTCACCTGCCCGGGGTCACCCACCTCCATGTAAACAGGCCCTTAGTAGGGACCTCGGGATCCGACAACGGCGACGCCAATGAAAACATCGCTGCTGAAATATAGCCTTTTCATCCTTTGAAACTTTTTCGCCATTCTTGCAAGTCAACCAGCTCCTTAAGAAGAGAAATTAGGTTGGAGCTGAAGAGAGGGAACCACGTCGGACTTCACACAAAGAAAATAAAATTGATCGCTTTGCCGTTCCTTCCTCAAGTAAAAATAAAATCGGCCATTTCGCGTCGTAGTCGTGCAGGGAGGGCAAAACACTTGACAAAAAAGCGCGATGCACGTGCAGAACTGTTGTTTTGCTTATTAACTCTACTCCCGTTGACATTGTGGTTCGGTCGTAAGGTCCCTATTTCAAGCCAAGTACAGGCTGTTTAAAAGTAGGATAGAGCTATCCAGTTGATAAATATAATAAGGATAATCAGTTGAGTTAATTTCAATGACGGACGAATAGCGTTATCCACCTTTAGACCGAACAGGACCGAATTAGCGTGTACACTAGCTGAAACTGCTTAGTCCTTTGAGCAACTCAACTCACTTGGCAAGCAGTTCTCGTTTTTCTCCCATGAGTTGTTTTTGTGCGGCTTGAGTTGTACCCTTGTATTCCTCTTCTTTGTTCACTCTCTCTTGTGTCAGTTCCAGGCTGCTCTGAAGGGACAGTACTGTCGACTCCAGGTTTCTCTTTTCACGTGCAAATCTGTCTCTGAAATTGATAAACGAACAGATAAGAACTGATTAAAGACATTGTCATATCCCTCTACAAAAACGATTTCCTAGGTGTTGTATTTTCAGTTGCGTTTTTCTTCTATAATGAACTAAAATGACGCGCAATAATGTACTGAAAGGTTACTTTGAATAGCCACATCATAGGATTTTGCCCTCAGACTCAAAAGTTAATTCTTATTTTCCACAAAGCTGTGTCGCAACAGCTTTTAAGTGCAGCATCATAATAGGATTATGATTTCTTGTTTTGAGTCGAACGTTGTTCAGTTTTCATTTGTTTCAGAAACAGTCAAGGCTGTGTGAAGCCAGGCAATAGAAAGAAGGGTTGCGGCACGCTCATAAGCTGAAAAGAGAAAGCTAACATTGGAAAGGTCAGAAAAATTTCCGAGTTCCAGATTAGATTCGAAATTACGACCTTTCGAATCCCAAATCGGACGATTTAACCACTGAGCTACTAGAGGTTCTATTGGGAGCAGGGTTGAAATTCCGATTTATAATTACACTTACTTGAGAGTTCTGATGGTAACGTGAGCCTTGGTTTTCCTTTCATCATTTTTTCTCTGTAGTTGATCAATTCTCTCCGCGGCATTAACTAGTTCTCCTTGTAGGTACTCTACCTCCTGTTGCAGCTCATTGACTCTCTCTGTCAGAGACTTTGCATCGTCCTCCTTTCGTTTATGCTGTTACAAAAGAAAGGCAGTGCACTATTTATGACCCTGTTACCATCACAATGTTAAAATGCACTGAATTGCTTGAACTGTATACCGGGGGTACAATAATGGCTTTCTTTCGGAAAGTTGAAATGATATGTTTTTACTTGACTGTGACGTACACTCGTGCAGTGGAACCTCCATGTGCGACCACTAAGTCTTTTTATTTTGGGTGGTCGTTTACGGGAGGTTCGTATGTTACCCTGTATTACCCTAGAAGTAAGAATTCTTTTTCATTTGCCCCATTGTATGACAATAGAAAGGAAATCTTCACTTTGATTTTAAGGCCCCACATTATTTAATTCCCTAAAATTGACAAAAAAAATGGCCAAAGCGAAGAGTGCATTAGTCTGCTACACAGCCGTTTGTAGTGTCGTCACGCAACGAGGAGCGTGGCTGTGTAGCAGACTAGGAGTGCATGGGAATCGTTGGATACGAAATTAACTGGTTACAGCCAGTTCTATACTCCGCACCTCATTGACTATTTACCTCCTCGTATCCAAGACGGGTTCATGGAAGAATTGATGACTGAATATCCCCTTTGTCCGTGGTGTAAATAAATAGTGTACGCAAACACGAATATGTGTACTTTCGAAAAGAGCTAGAGACTACTCCCTTGAGTAAATTTGTCCACTGTACTGAAAAGGCTCAAAGGCCCATTGCCAACCTTGATGCAACGCGGTCGTTTGTTTTTGTTTTGAAATCGCGCTTGTGTGAATGGGGCGCTCTGATTTGTCAACATTTTTGCCGAGCGTTGTTTTTCGTTATCAAATGGTTGAACCCTTCGCCTGCAAAGTCATTCAAGGCAATTCACCATTCTCGCACAGACCATAATGCACCTTGTTTAACCGCCCCCCCCCAAAAAGAAACAAAAAAAATTTGCATAACCATTGTTTCCAATTTCTCCTGAGTATAACGGTCGTCCCATGAGAAATCGAAGACAATAAAGTGCATTATAGAAAATAGTGAATAATGAGGAATAGCTATAAGTTGAGGTTTAGTGTCACCTTATCTCCAGTGTTTTTTAGCTTGAGTTTCAAGGCTTCTATGTTAGCTTCTTGTTCCTTAACTGTGTACTGTAGCTGGCCATCTCGCTCACGAAGCAGTCCCACCTGCCTCTCCAGTTCTTGCACCGTTTGATGTTGAATACCCCTGCGAACAACCACACGGATTAAGAGTTAACAGAGTTAAAGAGAATTTAAGCTTCACGCTTACGTCAAACGGCAAACGCGAATTTGTACCACGTGACCAAGTTTCCCTTTAACTTGTCGCTTACTGTCCATTGTTTCTTCGCATAAATTAGTGGTTTCAAGCAATTTTTAATCTATAATAATTGTTTTGAACCAATTTTATCTGCTCGTTTTCTATTTTGAGAAATTTTCATCTTGAATTTGACGTTATTTGTATTCGTGAAGCTTTTATGAAGGCTAACTCTCTTTAGAGAAAAGGCCAATATAGCCTGCGGAACAGAAGTTTCTTTTTTGCGTTTATCAAGCGTGCTAAGCCAAGCGAGAGGCGTGTGTAGAAGGCGAGACGCATGACGGGGGAAGGTCCCCGTCGCGCGTGTCTCACGCTCCACGCCCGCTCCGCGCTTGCCTTCGCTCATTTGATAAACGGGAAAGAGTTACGCCTATATTCTGCAGGGTGAGGCAAATGAAAAACGATGCTCAACGGAAACGATTGCAACAAAGACGCAAAAATCACGATGAACTCATTTAGAGCTAAGCGTCCTTTTGCGCGCTTCAAATTAGTTACATCCTGTCCTGCCGTGTGCGGCCTGAAAAGTGCTAAACAATGAGCTTAAGAATATTCAGCGACATTGCTTGATTTGCCTTCGCTTCATTCAAAAGCGCAAAGAGCCATTCTATCTTTTTAAAATATTTTTTCTTCTAAATTTTATGTTGACAAAAAAAGGGAGTCTTTCATCAGTTTACCGTTTAGATTATCTTTTAGATTTTCATTTATGAACCGGCAAAATTCAACCTCTGCTGCGATTTCATTTTTCACATAGTTAAAAGGGCAAAACCATTTCGTTAAAAGGAAAAAACTTTAGAAACAAGTTATAAGAAATGGAAAATCAGTATCATGCGTCAGTTTATTAAGTATTAAAAATTAAAACTTAGTTATATTTACCTCAGTATCTCCTCGATTTCAATAACATCACAAGCAAGTCTGATAAGGTTTAGGTACATTAGTTAGTAACAAAATTGTTTGCAGTCCTGGCTCTTTTCAAGTATTAGTTGGTTTATCATTGATGAGTTGATGTTTTAATATTAGATTATTAACACAGTTTAATTGTTATTTTATGATTAAGACATCAGAGGTTGCAACAAAAATTTAGTTTACCAATTGAAAGGTAGTTTATCAGAGCGATTTAACATGTTCAATGTCATTTAAGTTTATTCAAGAAGCATAAAAAAAAAACGGTGCTGAAAGATTTATAAATAGTTTTTATAACCGAGAAAATTAAGTCCTTAACGTCTTTATGTATTTATCTTCCTTTTCAGGTTTAACGTCATTTCCATTAATTCAAGCTTATAACCAATTGAAAGGTAGTTTATCAGAGAGATTTAACATGTTCAATTTCATTTAAGTTTATTCAAGAAGCATTCAAAAAATAGGTGCTGAAAGATTTATAAATAGTTTTTATAACGGAGAAAATTAAGTCCTTAACAGCTTTATTTATTTATCTTCCTTTTCAGGTTTAACGTCATTTCCATTAATTCAAGCTGCTTATAACGTAAATAAGAATATATTTTTCACGAAAAATATAAGTTTAGGTTTTTTTATTGGTTATAAAGATGGGATGATAAACGAACATACAAAGAAGACACACAAATCCCACAAAATGACAAAATTAATATCTGCATGCAGTGAATAAACGCACAGTATATTGTAAACACATCTGTTGTCATTATTGTAAAAAAAAAAAAAGCAAGAATAAGCTTGAAGAAAAAAAAAACCACTCACTGTATCATCTTATAACAAGTAACTGTTGATTAGTTTTAGAAAAATATTTCTAAGCGACCAGTAATAACCTTTAGAGTGTAATCAATGCTAAAAGTTAGCTAGTCCCTGTTCGGCGTTTTCCCAGCCCTTCTCAGTCAATCCACTTCGGTGACGTATCCGCGGCACTTCTTCGCTCGGACCATGTGACCCGAAACGCATTGACCGCGAAATAATGAGGTCCGGGGACTAGGCAATGCTAAAAGGAGGTTAACTGAGCGTAGTGGCCACTATAACTAGTCTCAATGTAGGAAAGAAACTTTGCTTAGCGAAAGTGAAACTGAAAACTAAATGCAAAGCCTCTAGCCCTCAGTTTACTGGTAAGAGTTTCTGCTAAACAAGAAGAATAAGAATCTAAACATGACTTTAGGGGCTTGAAAGATCGGTAGTCCCAGAAGAACGATTTATGTTGACTATAACTCAATAACGAAAAAACGTGGAGCTGAAGGACCAACCACCTAATCTGGGGATCACCTTGGCCTAAAAGATCCAGGATGGATCATAATACGTTTCTGGGAAACTGCCCACCTACC